GGGTGTGTTTTGTAGATGACACATGGGGAGTGATGCATGATGTGTTTGTATGAATCAGCGCAGCTCGAGTTGACTGCCTGAACTAGCTTGCAGGCATCGCTCCATTTGTGGAAGAAGTATTCAGATCTTTTACTTATGTAAAAGTAGCGATACTGAAGTAAAAAAAATATTGCTACAAAGTCCTGCATTCAAAATCTTACTGAAGTACATAATTATGCTAAAGTGTTAGCATCAAAAAAATACTCAAAGGACCAGAAATAAAAGTACTGATTTTGCAGAATGACTCATTTCAATTCAATCATATATATTCTACTGGATAATAATTATCAATGCATTAATTTGTTCATCACTTTAATGTTGCAGCTGGTAAAGATTTGTAAAAGCTGGTGTGTTACTTACTGTAACTATAATATGCCAAAGCCTTCAAAAAAAATGTAAGTACAATATTTGCCTCCAAAATGCAGTGCAGTAGAAGTATGAAGTAGCATAAAATGAAAATACTCAAGTACAGTGACCATGAGTAAAAATATATAGATGTATCACACCACTGACAATAAGCCAGTGTTTTCTTTACAAACATTTGCTGGGTCACTTCTTTATGTAGTCAACAATGTGATAGTTTTGTTTATATGGTGACATTTGGAACAGTGGGTTTTTCTCAGTTTATGACTCCGTGTTTCATAAAGTGAGAAAAAGAAAAAATAAAGAGCGAGAGAGTTTTCATCCAAAAAAGGGGAGACAAATCACAGTTCGAAAACCAGCCAGAAAACGGTTTTATTTTTCTTTTAATTCATTTGACAAGAGATGAAACGGCTGTTTAGCTTCATGTATAATTATTATCATTAACACAATACTTTTATTATTTTTATTAATGATAAGCAAACTGATTCTGCTGCTTTAATGTGAATTGTATCATTCATGTAGAATTATGTACCTATTTGGTCTGTTTTAATGAAATACTCATACACTCCCTCTTCTTAGTGCCTGTATAATTAGGCAATCTCATTATCTATAATTAACACGTTCCATCACAATGACATCACCAGCTATTTGTGTAATAATGTACAACAAACATTAATGTGCTGAGGTCTGTGGGCAGCTTATTTCATTTTATTTCTCTGTTGTCTCATTGTAATAATGACTCGGCTTCTGGTAGATGAACAGACGGATCATTAATGAACACAGGGAGAGGACACACAGACACAGACACACACACACACACACACACACACACACACACACTGATACTGAGTACTTATTTTAAACCTGATATGGGGAACATTAAAAAAGAGACAGTTTGAAATAGAAAGTAACAGAGGAGGTTAGAGGTTAACAGGCTGAGAGACAAATTAGACATTGGGTTCCTTGTTGTGTTTTAATAGCTCTGACAGGAAACAACAGTAAATAAAGAACAACACGATAACTGTTGTCGTCTTGTGGCCTCTTAAAGCTGCCTAAATCAAAACTGACACTATTAATCCTCTATCAGTCTAATATACCAGATTTTCACTGGAAACACAAACATGGATGTGCTAAATGCGACATTCAGCCCCTGAGTTAATGTCTTGTTTATTGTGTCTGTTTAATGAAGAGTTAATGAGTCCTGACTCCAGTTCCTGATTTAGTTCCGGGGTTTAGTTCCTGAGGGACCGATAGAGAACCCTCGCGCAGACACCACAGCGGCTCTGAGGTTCAAACGGATACAGTGGAGCAAACCAACAGAACCCTGTAGCGTTCACAGTGACAGTCCCGGATGTTTTGACGCCCTTGGCGAAGTCTTACTCCGTGCCCCCGCTGAATTAATTAGGCTGCTCAGATATGCAGTAAATGTGCATTTACATCTTCTTTGACATGTTTTGTGAAAATTAGTTTTATACTATTAAAAACAGTTTGAGGTCGTTAATACATATCTTCTTTGTATGAATGAATAATGAATGGAGTGTCAGTGTTACAACCATGTTGAGAGGAAATACTGAACCTTAGTTCTGTCAAAAAATGTAAAACCAAAAAGAAAAATAGAGCTAATAAAAATGGGTTTTGCTGCTTTAAGTGTTCAGTAATTTTTCTTATTTATATCCAGGATAATAATCCCCATAGTTTTGAAACTACAGGAAGTAAAGAGTAATACATACCCAGAATGTATACAAGTACTGAGTTCTGAAGTGGGTGGAGTGATTTCAGGCCAGTAGTAAAAGCAAAAATTTTTCCACAGACAACATTATGCTGTGTTTACACTATGGATGTATTAAGAGATGTGGATACAGTATTGGCGACGGGGCCCTGTTCATTTCTATAAAAGTTGCTCAGTGGCGCATGAAGCCAAACAGCTCTGTTTGCATGATATTAACTGACCTAGATGATCTGTGCTGCTTCAGCAATATTGGGCCCATAGAGCAGGTGCACTACACACCTACAGCTGCCAAGCACAGTTGAGTATAGCCAGGCAGCTAACTTCCAACTTCTGGTTTAGCACTCTGCTAGCTTGAATGGCGCTAAAATAATTTACTCTTGAAGCTCTTTTTGACTTTAAAAAGTTCTTTCCCAAAGTATGTCTGTGGGAAATAGTATTTCTGGGCCCAATGGCATCACCTGATAGACCTGAAAATTACAGTACCACTGTTTGGCCACTACGAAAATTGGCTTCAAAGCCCAGCGCACTTCTTGGGCGCCTGGTTCACACTACAAACACAGCAACAGGCTACAAGTCAACTTACAAACTGATGCCCAACAGCTGTCGATGTGTGACTGGTGTGACGTGTTACAAATTGAACTGTTTCAGCAGCCCAGTGAAGCTGTAAAGCATCAACCAATTATATGTTTTTGTTTCTAGCTGTGGTACTGTGTTATTTAGCTAGGTTAGCTAAAGTTATTATAGCTTTCTGTGTATTGTGGTGCAGACAGGGATGCAATGGGGCGGCAAAATGTAATGTTAAAGTGGGGCTCAAACAGTGATGGCAAAACAACTACATCTATGAGTGCTTAAGCAACACTTGAGCGCTGACTCGGCAAAAATTAAGCTGATCACTAGGCTTGAGCGGTGTCTATTTTTTCATACCTTCATACCTGCCTGAAATATCATGATATGTGATGGTACGTGTGTGCGGCTCAACCCTTCATTCAATCCCCACAGAAGCAAAATAAAAATCACTGTAACTGTCTTGGTTAGACTTGTTAGTTGTTTAGTTACTTAGTCCACTGTTGCAACCATCACCAACTCTGGTTTGGTTGAAAAAACTTTAAATTCACCCAGTTAGATGTGAAAATATGCTGTTTTCTCTTGCAGTCTCTCATTGCTGTTGCAGGCCTGCTGTTTACAGTCCTGTAACATTATCCCCACCCCTCCTCATTACAGCCTCTCCAGTATGAGTTTAATAGAAAGATGAGTATCTGTATTTTTGACGTTATTGAGAATCACATCCTCAGGATTACTGTAATTCTGTGATACTGCCCAAGCCTCCTGGCCATGCTGTTGCTTTGTCACCAGAAGTGTGAATACAGCATTAGGTGACTGACAGTTGGAGCTCTTCAAGGCTTTGATGGACATTAAAGTGTCCTGGTTGAAACATTAGTACAAAAGATAATGATGCATATGTTGTGAGTGTCGCAGTATTTAAAGCTGTGGGAAAATAATCAGCTAAAACTGAAAATTATGAGCTTCATAGACATGAGTAGTTACGGCAGGGCTGTTGTATTGGACTGCCTTAGGTTGCACAGGTGCATCTCATGCAGGGGCCACTGAGTTTAAGCTCAGAATTCCATCATCCTACTTCACATCATTAAACTTTTCATCTCAGTGATATTGCAGCGATGTCGCTCCCTCTGTGGACGTCCAGGTGCCAAATATTACACAAACAGCTTTTGGCTTCCGGAAATATCCTGTCACGTCTGAATAACAAAAAGCCATTACTTTAACTGCTTATAGAGAATTCAGCCATGTTACGTATTCAGTGTTTCCACTTTATGTGCCCTAGATGGCTCTGTGCCCCCCCACCACCACCAATATGAGAACCACTGACCCAGTGCAATTGCCTTTGTCACCAGTACCACAAACCACCACTCAGAAGAACCCAGCACCGACTGCAGTGTTTTCTAACAGGCTGTGATGCTGTGTGTGTGTGTGTGTGTGTGTGTGTGTGTGTGTGTGTGTGTGTGTGTGTGTGTTTGTAAATGTGTGTGTGTGTCCATGACGGAACACTAAACAGTGAAAAATGGAGGACAGTCTTTGATGTGCACTTACATAATCTGTGGTGATGGGTTGGAATGCCACACTTTGGCCACACACACACACACACTCACACACTGACCCACTGGAATTCTCCCTTTCATTGGTAAATTGTCCTCTCCTTGATGCTGATTTGCTCTCGGAGCTGCAGTGTGCTACTCATTTATTTTTTACAGCACCTTAGCTCTCGATAACGGTGTCTTCTTGTCTTTTTCTGACTTCTTATCATCATAATTGACTTTCTTCTTTCCAGTAATCAATTCAAAGCCCAGCTCCTGCCTTCAGTCTTTATTTGAAGTGTATTTTGTTCACTGTAGAGCAAAAAAAATACTGGATTGATAGTTTTACCCAGTTGTATCAGAGATGATAAACTGTCTGAGGTGTATTTTAGAGTACATGAGATTCTGCATGTTTATGTTTCAATGATTTCTCATGTCCATGTCACAATCAAAGAAATCCTCTCTACGTCAGAGTCATAACCTCGGAGCAGACGGTTCAGGGAGAGCAGATATTTACCAACCAATCATGGGTCTCCGAGGAGCCGCGCAAACCGATAATCAGTTTATATCCTAACGACCTCGGTGGTTCAGCGGACTCCTTTAATAATCCGAGATGAGAAACTCTCCTCTAATTGGTCGAATTAGTCTCTGTGCTATTAATTAGTAAAATCAAACAGAGTCTTGAACTGATCTGCCCGCTGATGATGATGCTCCGACTGTTTCCTGTCTGGATCCTGTTTATAAAAAAACCTGCCTTCCTGTTTCTGTTTCCCCTGCAGCAACAAGAACATGTTTACTCCCCTGTTTCCATGGTAAGAGGGAAGAGCATGCAGGTCCGGGTCAGGAGTTAACCTCAGCATTCATCTCCTCCGCCTGCCTCCTGTGAGAACTACGCTACCCACGATTCCTGTGAACTGACGACCCAGCACGACGTGTTGGTCAGTTTGAGAAAAGACACTCAGAGGAACAAAAACTACAACAACACAACGACAACACTGCTGTGAAGAGGACCAACATGGCCAACAACACGGCGGACCACCCTCCGGGGAATTCGGTTGCAGAGGGCAACCATGACGGGGACTTTGGGATAACCATGACGGATCTGAGGAGCGTGATGGAGCTGCGGAGCTCGGAGGCCGTCAACAAGATACAAGACACCTACGGAGATGTCCAAGGCATCTGCCGCCGCCTGAAAACATCTCCTATAGAAGGTGAGACACGTCCAACGCACCACACAAGGCAACAACTTTTTCATTTCCTAATTTAGAAAGATTAGTTTTTCTCCAAAAACACCAGAAGGTCAAACATTTGGATATTTAGGAACATTAGGCCTTTAATCCACGATCAAAGCTCTGTCAAACTCTACCTGAGTTGAAGAGCAGTATGTTGCTGTTGTGAATGTGTGTCAGGGAGCAGTGAGGAAAGGCACAGACAGTTCAAGGTTATCACCTCACACAGAGCCAATAATAGCCTTATAACTCATCATATTGTTCTTGTGTCTGTAGCAAATGGTCCGTGGTCTGGTACAGGTCCACGTCCCAGGGTTTGGCAATCGCTGTCTTATTTCATACTTCATTTAATCAAGAAATTAATCAATATTAAAGTCAATGGTTTGAATCGTCTGTTTGGGTGGCGCCAAGTTGAATCCCATCCAGTCAGATCAGGGTTGGTCGGTCAAGGTTGATTTACCAACCAGGCGAAGATGGCAGCCGCCCTGCTGGGACCTCAAAAGCCATAAGTTCATTCTGTGTCAGCCGGTTCATTAAATGTAAATTTGTTTGATGATTGGCACTCAACTCGTCGACTGTCAACAAACGCAGTTTCTGCACTGTTAGTTTGTGACCCTGTCTTACCTCTGAGAACAATCTAGTTTAGCTGCTTAACAACGGCCCGGCAACAATTTCTTTGCCCTGGGGGCCCCTAATACTGTAGATACATACTTAAGCTACAAAGCAAGTCTTTTCTAACAGCAGTGTCATGTAAAAGGAGAGCAGAGCAGCTTGATTAGCGTCTTGTTGATTTACTTTGTCTCTATACACCCTGAAAATCTTGTACTCAAAGATACTGAAGCATGAGTCGCAATATCACAGTGTAGAGAAACTGTTGCATGTATGGAACCTGGGCGGTATGTTAATCTGGGACAGGAGTAGGCAACCTGTGTCTCAGGAGCCATATGCCATATAGGGCTCTTTTTTTCATTTTCATTTATCATTGTTGTAGGCCTAAAGCAATTCTTAGTTTCTCCAGTTGTAAAAATGTCTATCCTACGACTGAATTTAAAAAAAGGTTTAACATTTTGTCACCTAAAATTTGCATCATACATCTACGGCCTGGCACCTTTTCCTCTAACCTTTTCAGGTAATTCCTCTAGCCTTTTCCAAACCTCAGAAGTGGTGGCCAGTCTTTAGCGTCCCTAGCAAGGCTAGCAATGGATTCCAAATCCATAAAAGTAAAAGTCTCAGAGGAAAACACAGAATTTAATAGTGCCTAGACAGATATGTTTGCTTTCACCACCAACGCTGTAATGTTAAACTACCAAATAGTCATAAATACCCCACTGCAGAGGAGCCATCTTGTGGTAAAACATATTTTTGAATGCTCTTTTAGACCTATTTTAAATGTCGACAGGCTAATTTAGACTTAATACACAGTGTTACCGTGGGGCTCGAATATGTTTTGAGGCTTCAGGCTGATTTTTCAAATGATTTCTGGTCAAAAATGTCTCTTTTGATAGTTAAGGTCACTGACCCCTGATCTGGAAGAAGAAAAGCAGATCTGTCTAATGTGTCGTCCAGTCGATATAGAACAAGAGTTCCATTTTGTTTTCTACTGTCCTCTTTGTCATGAACTGAGAGACTGAGGTGGCTGTTCACATATGGCACGTATAGATTGGCCATTATCTGGAGAAGGCTTGGGAGAAGAGGATGAATGCTCTTTTTCGAGATGATCTGTAGGTAGTTCCTTCTATGATAAGTGATTCGGGATGTTGTTTTTGTTTTTAGTTTTTGCATGTCATGTTGTTTTTTCTCCATGTTTTGAACATGCTTTGCAGATGCAAGACGTGAATACGTATGTCAGATAATATGTCTTGTAATCTCATATGGTATGGGCCAAGTATTGGCAGACCCAGAAATACAAAATGGAATGAATAATGAATATTAAAAGTATTTGCATCAAGATGTACTTGACGCAAGTACTTGATGTACAGAAATTAAAAGTACTCATCATGCAGAATGGCTCACTTCCGGGTAGCTCATGAGTTTCCCTCGGGGATCACTAAAATCTTAGCTTAGCTTATCTTAGCTTATCTTAGCTTTTCATATCTTAGCTTTTCGTATCTTATTTTCTCGTGTCTTATCTTCTCGTATTTTATCTTTTCGTATCTTATCTTTACGTATCTTTTCGTATCTCATCTTTTCGTATCTTATCTTCTCGTATCTTATCTTCTTGTATCTCATCTTTACGTATCTTTTCGTATCTTATCTTCTCGTATCTTTTCGTATCTTATCTTATATTTTCGTATCTTACCATATCTTTTCGTATCTTATCTTAACTTATAATAACATATCATCATTTATTTGTTGATTATATTTCATGTTATTATTCTGAATCATGTAAGGGAGTATAAACTACACTATCTCCCTCTGAAATGAAGTGGAGTCGAAGTATAAAGTAGTATAAAATGGAAATTACAAATACCTCCAAACAGTACTTGCGTGCAGCACGAGTCAATGCATGTAATTACATTCCACCACTGAAAATGCATCAGTAATAATGCTGATTATTTTAGCGCCACTCACACATATCAGGAGGTGACAGTGTGTGCACCATTAAACACTAACACTAATACAAACACACTTCAGATGAACACACTGCTTGTTTTGTGGTGATAGATGATCAGTTTGGATTTCAGTCAGAGCTTCTTGTGAGGCCAGAAAATGGCCGACTACTGCTGTTTGTTATTTCGCTCCCCCACTCTCATCTTTTGATCCCTCAGTGTTTGTGTGTGTGTGTGTGGGTGTGTGTGTGTGTTGCAGCCATCGGTCCATTCCAGGATTGAAATTAGTTCCAGCCCGTTCCCCTAATGGCTCCATAGATCATTGCTCTGTTCCATTTAGTAATCAGAGGACAGCTGTAGTCGCGTCCTCCACGCAAGAAATTACTCACTTTAATGAAGAAACTGTAATTATATTTTCACTGCAGAGAGGGGGGAGGGCAGGGGAGAAAACCAGGGGGACACCTAAATGTAGGGTTGAGGGTAAACACACACATTGATCGACTGTTACAGTTAACTAAAGTGATCCTTGATAAGTGTTTCAATCCAGGTATTTCCTTCTTACTCCATCAAGTGATTCAGTATTTCACTTTGTTGTTGGACTTGTTAGGGATGGATAAAAGCTCTAAAACCATTGGATCCTACATTTCCCACAATGCAGCTGGACACTGCTTTTCATTACACCCTTCTACCTCTTTCACACTCCACACCTCCAGTTTGTAAAGCAGGCTTTCTGTTTAAAATATGTAGCCTCAAAGCACAAGCTGATGATGACACCACTGTGACATCATCTGGGTTATTTTTCACCCCAGAGCCACAGAAGACATCATATTTTTTTTTTTCCAAGGGCTAACCATACACTGACTTTGGTGTGTAAAATATCAGGGGAGTGGCCCTTTAAATCTGTATTTATGATAGTGTGTCACGCTGTACTGAAATTAATTTATAGTTTAGTGTTGGATTTATGCTAATGATGTTAATGGCACCACTGCTACACCGGCTGGATGTGTCGCAGATTATCACACTGCGTCCTCTTTAATGAAGAGCTCCTAAGTAATTGTTTGATTCACTTTGTGACACAGAGCATGGAGATGAAGGTTTGCAGGAGGAGTGGGTTGTATCAGTTACAGTGTATGGACATTTACACTGAGATATTATATACCATTGTATTACAGCCAGATTTGTAGGCTGGAGGCCAATATTATCAGACAGTTTTATCTTTTCACACTCATCAGTTCCGGCATATATGTTGGCTGATATTGTGGCTCTGATCTGATGGAACTATCCCAATGATTTTTTAGAGCTTTCAACTATATTATTTGCTTTGATTTTTTTATTGTACATCTGAAACCTTAATATGAAACTAATAGCACATTGATTGCATTCTGTTTCTGGTGAAATATCACAACATGCAAACACTGGACACTATGCCAGAATAAATATTCCACAAGGCAACATGGTAGTGACAACACATTTCAGCAACCAAGGCAGCTCTGTAATGTCAGTAAGTAATAATTACTTTAGTGGTAAAGACTTTGGTCATTAGTCTGTAGCCTGATGTGCAGTTTAGCAAACAGAATTATAAGTATTGTGACAGGGATACCATTACTGATGTATGACACATTACCTTTTTATTGAGCTTTGTTATGAGTACAACATGGTTTGGGTTTTTGGTAGCCATGATAGTGGTGTGGCTACCAGAGATGTTGGTGGTCAGTCAATCTACCACTCTGCAATCTCTAAAAAAATGTTTGGATGATGTGCCATGAGTGTGCTAGCATGCTGATGTTAGAATTCAGCTAATTTAAGCATTATCTGGCAAGGAAGATGCCTGTGATGTAACGTTACACAGTGAGTTCGCATTTTCTAACAGCTGAAGTACCATTACTCCTACAGACGTGATTAAAAACAAAAATGTAAGAAGTTCGTCAGCTGAAGTTGGCTTGGGTAACCATGGTTATGCATCTCCAACCTCCCAAAAAGTGACATAGTAATTACAGCTCAGTGCATCTGAAAAGATGATTAAATTGTATGATAAATGATAATAAGCACATTGGGTGTGTAGTGCGTAGTATACAGTACAGGCCAAAAGTTTGGACACACCTTCTCATTCAATGCGTTTTCTTTATTTTCATGACTATTTACATTGTAGATTCTCACTGAAGGCATCAAAACTATGAATGAACACATGTGGAGTTATGTACTTAACAAAAAAAGGTGAAATAACTGAAAACATGTTTTATATTCTAGTTTCTTCAAAATAGCCACCCTTTGCTCTGATTACTGCTTTGCACACTCTTGGCATTCTCTCCATGAGCTTCAAGAGGTAGTCACCTGAAATGGTTTTCCAACAGTCTTGAAGGAGTTCCCAGAGGTGTTTAGCACTTGTTGGCCCCTTTGCCTTCACTCTGCGGTCCAGCTCACCCCAAACCATCT